AAAGTGTATCATCGGCACACTTCAAGTGCGTCTTCAAGTGTAAAAAGCGTCCAAAAATGCTACCGCAGTGTGCCGAAAGCACACTTGAAATGTGTCAGTGGTACGGTAAAAGCATGCTAGCAGCACATAAAAAGCATACTTTGGCACACTTTTTCCATGCCATTGGCACAATTTAAGTGTGCTTTTTCTAAAAGTATGCTTTTCCGGGACAGTGTGTGCAAGACCATTTTTCTGGCAACGAGGAAAAACCAGGATATCTCTTTTGATGTTGCACAATCTTCTGCGCACAATGTTTCTTTAAAGAAACCTATAGTATTGGAAAAATCATTACCAAATCTCTTTAAATCTTTAAATATGGATTTATCTTCACCGATGGATACTTTTGTTTCTAGGTTTGACATTTCTAATTGAGGAACAGAGCGATCGCATGGTATGATCGATGTGATATCATGAAGAAAATGTTAGCATTAATATTTTTATCGTTCTGCGTGATCTATCAAGTAACGGCACAATTAAACTTGTTTTTGGAATCCACCAGTCTTCAGCCGTTGTTTGGTAAGTAAAATCGATTGTAGAATTGTTCTTTGATTTAAGAATCAAACTGTATATGTTTCCTTCCTCATAGGATTAATGGATTACCAGCTATATTTTATTCAAGAAGGTTCATATCGCCTTTCAGCTATCAATTCCACGCCATTATCTATTCCGTCAGATATTGAAACGTTAAAATTTACGTGGAATGATGATCGTTCTAATTCTGATATGGTAAATATCATTGTGCTATTCTTGCTAAAGGTTCATGATATAAGAATGAGATATATTTTTTGTGCTAATAACGGTAATAACAGCGTAAGTTGTAGAAAACTACGATGAAATTTCATGAAAAAAAGTGACATTTTCTTCAGTAAACTAATTAAAATCTTGAGACGTATAAGTTTCACTTATCTACGATGTGAGAATCATAGGTGGCGGAAGGATTCTAATCTAAAGGGGGCTCAAAAACGTTTTTCAAACAATAATGGAAGGAAATCAAATATCTGAGCCACCTCAAGCCTTTCTCTTCCTTTTTCTAGGGGAGGCTTGAGCCTTTCCAAGGCTAAGGGCTCCGCCACCTACGGTGAGAATCAACGTAAAAAAATGTTGTTGATAGGAAGAAGAACTAAGAAAGATAAATACAAAGTGTAAAAAATACATCGTGCATATGAACTTGTTTAACGTGTCATTTTCATGCTTATAGAAGAAGTCATTGTACCAGTACAATACAACGTCGAGCAATTTAGAGGAATTATTGTCACCTGTATTAGATATCACGCCAACAGGAAGTGTACCACGACATTTATCGAGTAAGACTATTCTCTCTTTTCTCTTGTAAGCTAATCTTTTGCAGGTATATCCTATAGTTCATCCTTAAAGAGAGTTATAGAAAGCACTGGATAAGAAGTAAAAACTAGTTAATCACCAGTTTTCATAAAATTTGAGCTAACGTTAGTCTAAAGGTAACACTTTTGTCTCAACCCATAAAAAAAAATTAGCACAAGAAAATCTAAATCAATTGTTTATTTATATATCAATGAATTTTCTTTTAGACTTTAATGTATACTTTCCCTGCATATCGGCATCATCGGAACTTGAATCTATTAATTGTTCAATAACATTTCGCTTTTATAATATTACACATAATTACAGTTCACAATCAATAGTTAATTTAAAATTTTTAAAACAATGTGTTAAAAGTAAGTAAAGAAGATTCTAATTTTATGGCAAATTTATATTGAATCCTGTTTAGATGAAAAATTGAATCAATCTATACTGTCACAATTTTATAATACCGCACAAATTGAAGCTTATTTGTTGACTCAATGTATGTAAAAAACGAGAATAGTAAATATCTGATATACTATTGTATTTTCGTTGGTTCATAGCTCATCGTAGTTTATCATCTATTGGCGTAGTGACCATTTTGGGTTATTCTATCATTATTGCACTGATTGTTTTCGTATTGGTATTCTCAACAGCCATGATATTGTTTTGTTTATATCGTAAAACAACAAGAAAAAAACGGCATTTACTCAAAGCACAAAAGTAAAATAGACATATTTTTGAATTGATATTTTTATTCTTCTATTAATTATTCTGTTTAGTGCCGATACTACACATGATCTTGATTCTATTCCATTTCATCATCAACAGCATCCACAATTACCAGCTATATTTGATACGACTAACTGTAGTGCATACGAAGATTCTATTTATTCTTTCACACAATATGATTCACAATATAAACCAAGTGATGAAACAATCCATGAAGCATTAAATGATTTTAAAATTGAACAAAATCGTGTTACATTGCATGAAATTTTAATTGAAGGTAATATTTTGCTCAAGATCAAATAACAAATAAAATAAATTTGATTACGTTTGTGATTTTAAAAGATTGAGGCGATCATTAACGTTAATGATCGAATTTTTCTTATTATATTTAGGTACATTTGGTCGGTTAATTCACTGTACATATATTGATAATAAAACAATTTCACAAAACGTTTATGGAAAAACTGTTAATTCGAATGCATCTCAAACTCAAATAAATATGATGTTAAACGAGTGTTGTCTATTCAAATCAGTTAAACATGTCAATATTAATAGTCCATTGGGAATTGTTCATATGAATGAATTAACACCGTATCCACTTATTTTATATCCTTACGGTGGAAAAGGAATATTGAAACGATTTTTATTGAAATGTAAGGGTAGTTCATCTGATGGACGTGATCATGTAAGTTTCTTCACTTAGATAGACATATTTAAATAAAAATAAGAATTATTATTTTATTTTAGATGCTTTCAACACAAGAACTCGTTTATATGTCTATTCATGTTGCAAAAGGTTTACACTTTCTTCATAGACGAAAATTATTGATGAAAGATATAGCAGCTCGAAATTGTATGTAAGTATCTTTAATATCTACAAAAATATATATCTACTTACAAATAAAATAAAAATTATTTTGTTTTTGTTGTATCATTTGCTGTTGTTGATGATGATACTATTGTTATATCATCATAAGGTCTAGCATAACTGTCTGTATTAGTATTAGTATATAAGGTATTACGTCTAGATTGTGTCATAAAAACATAATGTCGTTGATCAAATGCAGAAGTAGTGGTTTTAAGTTGAAATAAAGATTCCCAGAGTTTTGTATAACTAATAGTTTTTTGTTCAACGATTTCTGAAGAGTAGAAAATATGTTTTTTATGAGAACGATAAAAAAAATATAGAAGATGAATTAAACTATTTACCTGGCATATGATTATGTAATTTTGGATAAAATGGTACTCGCTCTTCTTCAGAATCACATTTTGAATTTATTGTATTGGAATGTAATTTAAATTGACTTTTATCTATATTAGAATTACTATTTTGTACTTTATAATTATTTGTACAAATGTCATCTGGAAGTGGTGTATTAGAATAATAGCTAAAGAACAAAATTCATGAGAAAAATAGATGTACTTCATCTGTTACTATCTTAAAACAGTACTTTATGTTTTGACTTACATTTTATTCTTGGTTCCAAAACAGCAAAGCATTTTTCTTCTACAATTTTGAGTAAATTGTTTATTTAAAAAATAATGAGTAGGAATTGTTTGTTTTTTGAAGAAAAAACTACCTTGCTCTACTTATCAAAAAAAGTTTTTTTTGTTATCGTTTGTACTTTTTATTTGTTTGAAAACTCTTATAAAGAAAAGAATAATTTTATTGTACGTCATTATATTTTGAGCTGACAACATTATATAGTGTGTTATCATTTTCTGTCAAAGAGTGTAATCGAGTTTATTCTAAAATATTCATATGTTTCTTTAGAAAAGAATTAAAGATTTGAAATTTTCTCCATTAGTCGAGGGTTACATTTTATATATTTAATTTAATAACAAGACTTTTTTTCTTCTAAACGTTTCTTCTACAATTATCTATCTAGATAATTGTTTTGCCTATTAAATCATCGTTCATTACATGATTAGGACGATCCTCTTCATTATTGAAGACTGCATCCTATATATTTGGTTATATTTTAACGTGTAGTTCTGCCTTTTTTTGCGTATTGTATAATAAATAAGTATAAATAAGATTGCGGTTATTAATTCAAAAGTGCCCTGTGTTTTCATTTACAAACTTACGTAATACGAAAAAATTCTTCATTTCACAGTGACCCATGTATCAGATAGCCTAAGTTCTTTCTACTGCGAACATATAGCATTGATCTTCTTCTTCATGAAAACGATGACATTCGATTTCTAATCTCTATGTGATTGAAGAGTTGAAAGAACTCTATAATTGGAATTTGAACACATTTTCTATTATTCACTTATTTATTGAAGGGTGTTTGATGATTTATCTGTCAAATTATGTGATTATGCATTATCTCGTGATCTATTTCCAAATGATTATTGTTGTTTGGGTGATAATGAAAATAGACCCATAAAATGGTTAGCTGTAGAATCTATTGATGATCGACGATTTTCAACAGCGTCAGATGTTTGGTCTTATGGTGTTTTCCTTTGGGAATTGATGAGTTTAGGTGATTCACCATATGACGATATTGATCCATTCGATATACTAACAAATTTAAATAATGGTATACGCTTATCTCAACCGCCTAATTGTCCAGATTCACTGTAAGTTTATTTCTCTTATATTTAGTTTGTCATTATTTCATTTTGATTATTATTTAGTTATAAACTAATGTCAATGTGTTGGCTAATATCAATCGATGAAAGACCTCGAATTAGTGATTTAATTAGTTCTTTAACACAATTTTACGCTCAATTAGCACGATTTATATAAATGTTTTTTTTCAGATAATAAATTTTGTCAGATATTTTATTCAAAGTGATCACTGTTTGCTGTGTTCTAGTTATCTTCACTAAGAGTTAAAACAAAGTCTTGTCATTTTTTTGTCGAGTTTGGACATTTTTTTGTACATAATTGATTTTGAATACTCTTATGTTGTACATATTTTCTGCTCAATATTGTTTTCCTGGTATTACACTTTTTTATAGAAAGAATGACTCTAACAATATTAAAAAATACCATGACATCTTACATGGTATGAGATCAAGGTCAATTCGATTTATTTATATCTTTACTGTATAAATGAAGTGTGTGGATAAATAACACATATTAAAAAGCCATATCACAGTTTGTTTTTCTAATGGACGTCTCAAGAAGGTCATTTGAAAATGTTTTTTTAGTTTAGCTTCTGTTTCATCCTTTCGTACTTTATGTCCGTACAATAGATTCTAAAAAACAACCATCGGGAAACGCAGTTTTTTCACGTTTAAAAAAATCTCGGCTTTAATTGATCACAGAGTTGGACAAGAAATCTACTTTTAGTGTAACAAAAGTTGCCGATTTATTAACATGCAGCGACCCTAAGAATATCAAGAACAGCTTTTGTATCATAGTCACATCAACTCTGAAATTTCACAATTTTTCTCATAGTAATAGTTTAATAATACTTAACATAATTTACTTTCAACAAATGTGAGTTTTCGAGCGTTAAAAGGTCATTTTCAGGCAACGTAGAAATGTACAGAATTTGAATTGAAATGAAATTGAAATGTATAAAAAATCAAGTAAATCTAAAGAATTGATATGAAACAGGTACAAAGCGTCACTTCAAATATCCAATTCAGTTTTAACGAAAAAATATATTAACAATTCGATGGTGTATCTATTCGTCTTTAGTATCAATCATAGCGAATATATTTATAACTCACTTAAAGAAGTTATACAAAAGCAAGCTGGAGTTGAACTATATCGAAGATATGTAGACAATACATACATGTCCGTGAAACAAGATACCGATATTGAAGTTATAAAAAACAATACTGAACGATTTTTACAACGATATTCAATTTACTTCCACAGAAGAAAAAAATAAACAAATTTCATTTCTTGATGTGTTAGTTCGACGAGAGAATAAATCGTTCTTCACTACTATCTTCAGGAAAATGATATATCAGCGTCCTCCTACAAGATAGACTTCGCACCAAAAACTATAAGTTCTCTGCCATAAATAATATGAACTATCGCGCTATCAGAATCTGTTCATCATATAAGCTTATGCACGACAAGTTTGGATTTGTAAAGTCTCCTTATCAAACGACTATCCTCTCACCTTTATTGAAAGTCAGATATCTCTGACTCTGCGTACCAGTGCAAGATAGCATGCATACTGGTAGTGCCAACCGCTTTTCAGTCCTGTACTGCATTTTGAAAATATATTGTCAGATCAAATCTGCTACGATAATGTAAACGATGAAAATACGCCAGGGTTACTACAGTTTGCGACGGTCGTATACTTTGTTACGTTCTGATTCTTTTCTGAAAAGTTTGACTTGTCGTAAACGATCGTATACGACTGACGTAACTACATCGTAATTCATCGTTTACATATCGTTGTATCTATCAACGTTTACGACTCACGTATTTCGTCGTAATTTAACGTATATTGTAGTATACGGTCGTGAGTCCTCGACCTGGATAAAAACAACTCTCGATCGTTTTTATGAACCAAAACAAAAGATACATGCCGAACAACGACAAACGGGCTTATACGCGGGACCGAAACCAAAAAATGATGAATAGATCATTACTAACATTTCATACACTGGTTCGGCCATTAAGGGAGTATGTCAAAATGTATTCCGGTCGGTCGGTCGCTATTCCACTATTACTCTATTCCGCACACAACATTTCGTTTTATAATAACATTTATATAGATGTATATAGAGTACTTCGGGGTAATTAGAGACACTCTTTGAAATTTTCATCATTTTTCTGCTATTTGATTGGAAAAACTTGCTATTGAACACGGTGGTAGATCGAACATTTTTCTGCACGCTCATGTAAAAATCTATTGAAAATCTCCGACCAATTTTGAGCCTGATCCAAAATGCGAAGAGCTCCATCAGAGTGTATCTAATTACCCCGTACGGGGTAATTGGAGACACTTCACTTGTACGCTTGGAGTAAATAGAGACACTCCATTCAAATATATGGAGTTTTAATGTACAATTGCTGGTGAATTAAGCTTAGGAGATAATTAGTTCAAAAATACCTCATTTTATAGCCCGGACCTTCCTCTCTACCATATAGTTTTGAGCTCATTATCATTTAAACTCATTAAGCTAATTAGGATATAATCAACAGCACCAGAATTTTTTTTTTTATGCTTTGGAGTAATTAGAGACACTCGTGTAATTTCTTCAGAGTAAATAGAGACACTCCACTGAAATACACGGGATGCTCAGAGATAAACGTCTACCGTCTCTCAGAAGCCGAAGTTGGTATTAGACCAAGTGACAAAGTTCTTCAGACTGCTGAAATCTATCACATATGTGAAAATTAGCTCATTAAACCAGTGGATAAGCTATCATATTGGCTTCACACTATATAGAATATTAATTTGAATATATTTTATGGGCTAAATTAATTTTAAAACTACTTATGACACCTTGAGACTAAAAACTTTGATAAAATCTTCTGTCTATGGCATACACAAGCATCTCCTCTATCGAATGCAAAAACAATCATCTGAAAATCATGAGAACTACGCACGATAACACCAAATTATCCGATATATGTCTCCTCTGAAGGACACATACAATACGATATCAATAGAAAGCGTACAAGTGAAGTGTCTCTAATTACCCCGTACGGGGTAATTAGATACACTCTGATGGAGCTCTTCGCATTTTGGATCAGGCTCAAAATTGGCCGGAGATTTTCAATAGATTTTTACATGAGCGTGTAGAAAAATGTTCGCTCTACCACCGTGTTCAATAGCAAGTTTTTCCAATCAAATAGCAGAAAAATGATGAAAATTTCAAAGAGTGTGTCTAATTACCCCGAAGTACTCTATGAGCTTCGTTTGCTTTTCTAATTTAATCTGATTAGATTAATTTGATTATTTCTTCAGAGAGAATTGACCGCTATGTTTCACAAGATTATTCTTTTATCAATCTATCGAAAACAC